TTTCCTTTTCCATTTTTGTCTTCAAAGATCCTTCCTGCATTTTGAAACCTGCGCCATATTTTTTCATATGTGTGCTGAACACGGAACTATATTTTACACCTAAATTTTCGAAATGCCATCTTTTTTGTCTGATCAAAGTCAGGAGTTAAATCCCTACCCGTACTGGCTCTCTATGAGAAGTAGAGGCAATAACTTGGGAAACAATTCGAGTGATAGCAAATGCCAACAGCACCGCTCGTTAACAGGACTGCCGGTGGTTCCTTCTTTCGAGGACTGCTTATAAGCAAATTGATGAGGAGTGGCCGATTTATCATCGAAATGAATGAATGAATCGTTGAGGGTTTGATTATTTGGATAATATGAAGGTTTATTTCACTGTAAACTGGAAATTTTTGTCCTTCGTGACTTTTTTCTACAAATTATCCGCAGATTCGGATTCTTGTGCTTTTCAAAATTTGCTCTCGTCAGACAAGTGATTGTGTTTTTCCCACCATCCACAAGTTATGCGTTTGCCATGCCAGAGTTTTGGTTCTTGTTATTTGGCTTAGAGAGGGGGTAAAACGTAAGCCTTGTGAAGTTAGCAGTCGAGACCTGGAGCATTTTTTTAAAGATTTTTGGAATTTTTTAAAATTTTTTAAAGATTTTCATAATTTTTCAAATTTTTTAAAGCATAACGGTACTAGACAATGCTTTTCCCATCTGCAGATGTGTGATGCAGAGGAGGACGAGGAACGATTCGAAATGGAGGAGAATGATTACGACGATTCAGAAGGTAATGACAGTGATGAGGAAAGAATGGAGGAGGACCCGCCTGAAGAAGACGTAAAAAGCGCCGTGAAACGGGTGGTCAGCGAGGGATGGAGTGATGTGGCTGAATGTACAGCCCCTAAGAAGAAACGCTCATGAATTTCGGATCTCATTTCTTTTTTTTGTGACTTTCATTGATACATTTTTTCAAAAGTAAAATACATGCACAGCGTAAAATGATGTTGTCCGGACAAAAGTAAAGTAGTCGTAGGTTTATTTACTTTGAGTATTTGAATCAGCTGCCAATGCGTAACCAGATTCTCCAGCTATGCATTGGTAGGTTTTGCAGTTACTTTGATTAATGCTCTCATCGCATGGTGGGCAGTTATTGGTCATGTATTTTCACATTTCTTATTCGTTTGAATTTTCAAATAAAGCATAGTTTTTATGCGTTTTTGCATATATGCAAATGCATATTTGGCAAGAGACTGTCTGTGTATTCGTACTTTTTGTCACCCACTTTCAACTCGAAAACCAAAAAAGCTGGGAAGCTGAAACTTCGGCAGTGCGCGCCTATACCATGGGTGACCCGCCTGTTTTTATATCGTCACTTGCGTATGTCTGGATGTCGGGTGCGGACGCCCTAAAATATGCAAATTTTTTGACGGGAAAGCTGTATTGAGAACCAGAACAGGTAGAGAGCTGGCACTTTGCAGGGGTATTCTCTGTGCATGTGTGACCTAAAGATTTCAAACTCTGCCCTTAGGCGTGCGTGCCGGTGCGTGAAAGTTTTGAAAATTGCTAATGCGGCAACCTGGGAAGCTGAGATTTGGAGGGTGTTTTTCCTGCCCACATAAGAATTGGAGATTTCAAAGCCAGCCA